CCCTCCCTCCCACAGGTCCAGTCTGTCGATGCCAACACCACCACATACGCCGTACAGAAACTTCTGGAAGGCAAGGAATATTTCTTCCGAGTGGCGGCTCAGAACGAGATGGGGGTCGGCGAGTTCGCCGAGCTGTTGGAGGGCATTGTCGCCAAGAGTCCATTCGGTACGAGAGTTTGGATTTTTGTTTCGTTTTGTTTAGTTTAGTTTTGTTTTATTTGAGTAGTGAGAATCACAACGAAACAAGAACGGTCATTTAGAATAGGAAAAGAGTAAGACAGACAGAAACAACATGTCGCCAAGAGAGTACGAGAGTTTTTTGTTTTTTGTTTGAGTAATGAGAGACACATCATGGGTGGTTGGCAGGTGCTCTGGTGTGGTTTGCTTCTTCTTTCCTATGAAACATCTATCATCCTTATCTCCCCTTCTTCTTTTTTGTGTTTGTTACTCTTTTGTAACACCTCTAATCTTCTGGCGTTCATATGACCTTATGCAGTCGCGAGCGCCGTAAAACCTCTACTAAAACTAAAATGAAACACATCAACATAATAATGGTAATTTAGAGTAGGAAAGAAGTAAGACAGACAGAAACAACAGAGGGAAAGAAAAGAAACAGAGCCTCCCTGTTGCATCCCTCAACCAGCCCCAAGAGTAATATACATATGTAGTGACTGAACCGAAGGGCAGTTTCTGTCTAGTACATTCCAGAATCATCGTTACCTTTCTCTGTAGTGGCGTTTTTTGTTGGACATTTAAGGCCAAGAATATGACAATCTCCCTGTGGTACATACCAGACAGATTCTAACCTTTATTAAAACAAACATTTTATGATACTTGAAAGTGTTTTGATAAAAGGCAAATTCTACTTGATTAGACAAATTGATTGATTAATAAACCTCTTAGACTCTAAAGCGCTGTTATATTTTTTGGCCATCAACGAAACCCCAGACACGTTAATATCGCATCCTCATACCCACCACACAGCCCTCCCCCACCATACCAAAATAAATCAGTGTATCTACGGATTGCCCGTAACCCTTCCCCTTCTGTCCACTAAAATCCTCAAATTTTTCAACACCCACTTTTTATTCTGCAGTTTTCTTTTCCTGTAGTTCTAACTTGACAACCCACCTTTCAATAGCCTTACAGCGTTTGAAACGGCCGTTAAACTTCTACAATGACCAATGAACGAATGAAGGCAAACTAAACAAATCACATGTTAGATCCAACAGGATAGCCTAACAGTGATTGAAAGGGCTGTTAAACCCATACAACGATCAATAAACAACAAAAGGACCTGACCCACATTTATTTACCTTTTCCCTATGTCGTTGTTGTTGTTGTGTGTGTGTGGTAGCCTATCCGCTCGAAATGTCTGGAGCCCCGAAGAGCGTGCTCTTCGCCAGGGCCAGCGCCTCTCTTGGGTAGCGAGTGAGGCAGT